AAGGAGCACGGCCCCAGGGACTGAGGGGTACATAGTGCACTCCTTGATCAGCTTTTTAATGCCGAGTATAATGTCAACAAAATACAATTGAAGATTGCACTCTAGGGCATGGATGCATGTCTCATGATATCTAATGCCTACTGTAATGCTGCTCCTGTTGCAAGCTTCTTAAGGAAATCTCTTCCTGTGCTCAAAGAGGGTTCTATCCTCTTTCAGGTTCCTGCCTACTGCCTTGTGTTCCAGGGACCAGCAGCCTCTGTGTCTCAAGATGGTTTTGTTGCAGGAAGTCAATCCTAATAAAGATGTTGCAAGTGGTGACTGTGTGCTGTGTAATTGGAGTTGGGGTGGGTGGCTGGGCTCTTGAGCAAGTAAAATAGATGCAGTTATCCGTGGTGTGTCATGGGCTTACCAACTGTAAGGGTCTAATAGTGCCTTCTGGTATTTACATTAGTTGCTACACTGAGAGCCTGTCATTCCTTGGTCAATGTAGGTTACTTCCAGTGTCTTGGGTAAACTTGGCTTCAACTCTCAAGTGTTAACCTAACTCCTAGATTCTGATAACCCTGTGTCATGGGCTTCTTTCTGTTCTGGACACTTTGAGTCAGGGCAGTGTGAGCTTTTGCTAAAGCAGAGTGTTTTCACAAAAGGAACTTAAGGTTTTTGCAAAGTATGCAGCATAATCTAAGAGGAAATTTATACATCTTCACCGTCTGCTCTACCTTGAAGGTGTGGGAGTAACCTCTAGCTTCCACAATGAGCTTGTGGACCTATATCCTTAATGAAAGGTGTGTAAAATCCTGCTTGCATGAGTGATGTGATTCAGGCAGTGTTAACAAGAATGTCTCTCAGTTGTCCGTACAGACCTCACTGCAGCAATTACCTGCGAGACCATTGGTGTACAGGGTATCTCAACTTTTTGTTCCATGATGCTCTCTGCACCAGTGAGAAGGTCATCTGGAATGGTTTGTGAGCAAGAGGAGTACCCTAAATCACTCCCTTTTAATCCTCTAGCTATAGAAGTGGGTTTCATTAAACACGGATAATGACAGTTTATGAAAGAACTTGGATATAGGTTCACTCCTGTGATGTGAAAATCATTCTTAGTCCACTTCTGCATCTGTGGGATGGTAGACTTCCCGATGTTTTGTGGATGTTATCCGCAACAACAATTTTCTTCGGAAAGTGGCCACTCCAAGCCTTTTGAAATAAGTCTCTCGATAGACTGGTTGAATCTCTGCATGTCCCTTGGTGCACCTGTCTAAGAGAACGAGAAACTGATTACTTCTTCCGATTTTAATCAATCACACCTCGACGAAGTATGAAGTGCTAGCTCAAGCCTCTTTGTACGAATATGCAATTGTTTGCGAATGTTCAGTTTTTAATGCTACATCCGCGGCTCTTCTGATTAGGGTATGATAGGGCGCGCATTTTTTTCCCCGTTCACACAAAAGCACAGAAGATACTAACAAGGCAACATTAACTGATCCCCACCCGTGCAACAGAAAATTAGTTGTCCTCACACCGGTAATGGAGTGCTTGCGCTCGGCAGACGGGGTTACTGCCTGTCAAGGTCGCCTTGGATGGTCACTTGATCACCCGTAAAAAGAAGGTGCTACTGTATATCTCGAGAACGAAAGCAGCAGAAACGCACGCCCCGGCACAAGCGCAGCACTAAAGAATGAGGTGGGTTTCATCGTTTGTGCTGTTTGAGGAATGGCCAGCTTCACGCTGCTGTTCCAAGATGCGATCTCTTGTTTCGCTGGCAACTCATTTGTTCTGAGGAGGTCTTTCAATTTTTTTGTTTTAAAGCGAGATGTTAACCGGCTTTTATAGCGCTCTTTGGTATCTTGACATTAAAATACCGAAAGGGGCGGCTGCTCATTGTACGCTTCGTTATCAAATGGTCCAGCGAGAGAGCATTGTAGGACTCAACTGGAATTAGCAGACATTTGCAGCATTAAGTTCCTCGTAAGGAGGACGTCTTTTTTTCAGCAAAACCTTTTTATTAGTCCGGTAAAGTAACGGACAGTGTCGCCTGCTGCTGTCCAGGTCATTGATATTTGAGGGAAAAAATGGTCTCCTTGCGGTGATACAGTACATACAATTTCTCTATTGCATACAACTGACTATGATTAGTGTTTAGGAAAGTGATTTAACGCGTAGTTGCGTTTCCTGGCAGTTTTGGTTTTCGTCATTATCTCTACTCGGGGTCACAACGTGTTTCAAGCTCTCCCCCAACATTGCCTTTCGTAAACGGTAAAGCACGTCTTAAGGAGTTACGAAGGATCTTGTTTTCGTTCTAATAAAGCGTCTTCATCGTTCTGTGAAACGGTATCTATGATTACACAGAACCTGAATGCGCAGCAGTTTTGCTGTGTGAAATATTTCTCAAGCTGTCTGAAAGCCTTGGTCAGGTTTCTTTGGTGTCCAGGCGATCAAGAAATAAGACGAATTTGTTTGCTGGCTTTACACAGAGCTCAGGCGATTTCCGAGCGTGATCTTGGAGCATTGTGGGTCAGTATCTGCACTGTAAGAGGCATTTTGAGTAATGGGGTGTAAAACCCCGCTTTGATAAACGCTTTAATAAGACCGTAAAAACGTAAACGGTCTTTTAACAGGCTATAATACTGGAAATGTTTAACTTGTTTTATTGAATTATACTACTCTTCATTGCAGTCAGTACTGTAACTCTATCGTCAAAGTTAGACTTTTGTCGTTTTACTTTAGCCCTCTCATTCAGGAAGAAGTACTGTAGATCACGCACTGCTGACCCGCGTGTGAGTGGAGGTTCTACCCTCAGTACCACCGGCCCCTCCGGCTCCTGCTGGGGAACCCAGTCTACCTGGAGGTGCGACTGCTGAACTCTCCAGACCCCAACCTGGTGCTCCTGGTGCACTACTGTGTTGCCTACCCCCGCTCTGGCCAGGCTGTCTGGGTGCTGCTCTATGATGGGTGAGGAGATAGATAAGACTTTATTGATCCCGAAGGGAAATTGATGTGTTACAGCAGCCCAAGACAAGCAAAAAAACAAACAAAACAACAGACATCAGGATACATGAAAAATTAGAATATGTACAGTAATACAAAATAAATATAAAATTAAATAAATAAAAATAAATACATAGGTGTGTGCAAAATATGATCATAGTCACTGTAAAAACAATAAACTATGTGCAAAATGTGCATAGGTATATACAGATTGAGTGTCCAAAAAGTACAATGGAGCAACATGCTGTCCATAGACGAGCAAATGAAGGGCTAACAGTCCTAGCCTAGGGCAGCGTTATACTGTACACCCTGACAGCTGCCGGGAGGAAGGACCTTTGAAAATATTCCCTTGAGCACCGTAGCTGGAGCAGTCTGTTGCTAAAAGTGCTCCGCTGCCCAATAACAGTCCCATGAAGCAAATGAGAGGTGTTGTTCATGATGGCTGTGAGCTTGGTCAGCATTCTCCTCTCAGCCACCACCTCCAGGGGGTCAAGGCTCAGAGCCAGGCTTCTTGATCAGTTTATTGAGCCCATTTACATCTCTTGCCATGATGCTGCTGCCCCAGCACACAACAGCGTAGAAGATGGCCGCCGCCACCACTGATTCATGAAAAATGTGTAGCAGTGTTCCACACACACCAAAGGACCTGAGTCTCCTAAGAAAATAGAGTTGGCTCTGACCTTTCTTGTACA